CGGAATGGTGGTCGGACACCATGCATCGGAAGTTTTTGACAGGGTCTAAGACAGCCTCCTTCATGCATTGATACTGAGACTGCCAGACCCCGATCGTCTTTTTAGTGTCATCAGTGACGCTTGGAACTTTGCTATCGGTTGTTGACTGCTGCGAAAAGCGGCCAAGGGACGAGATCGGATGATCGCGTTCGAATCTTGCCAGCTTAAGGCTGCGGAGAGGAACTACCCAGTTCACGACAAGGAATTTCTTGCGATGAAGTATTCACTCGTCAACTTCAGGGTGTCCCTGCTTGGCTCCAAGCCGTTTGCGATCTACACAGATCATGCATCATTCCGCACTGCGACTCAGTCACCTCACCTCTCGCAGAGGATGGCCAGGCGGCTCTCACTCTTTGCAGGAAATTACTTCGAGTTGAGTATAAACCAGGAAAGCAGAATGCTTTGGCTGATGTGTTGTCACGCAGACCCGACTATGAGCTTCCTCATATCACAACGGCGACATCGTCACTGACGGATTTGACCCGCGCCGCATACGCGGTGTAGCGCTGCTACACGATCTCGGGACAAGGCGTTTAGAAACTCCGACAGGAAATTGTCGGAGCGTTTGTGCGCATGGTTACACCGATATTTGTTGAAGAACGTGTTGCTGAATTATAGCACCGTTTCAACGGATACGTCACAAATCATAGTTCCTCACGATGAGGATTTGAAGTACAGTATCCTCTATGAGGTCCACGACACCCCACTCAGTGGTCATCTCGGTTGTGGGAAGACATACCGCTCGGTAAGGTCTCTATTAGTGGCACTTGCTATGAGCACATATGTGCGCACGTGTAAGACGTGTCAGAAGGTGAAACCCTCTCCGAATGCGGCGGTGCCGCTGACCAGTTTATCGGTACGCTCCGTGCATATCCTTCTCAGAAAACATAGCGTATCCGCATGGCCTCGCTTGGCTACGACTTTGAAAGGTCCAACAATTGTTTACGTGGCTTTCTCTTAAAGACATCAGAGACTGCATGTGTAGGATAGTTTTTAGCAGTTAACGAAACCTGGTCCCCGACCTCAACACATTCAGCATTTCTTCTGCTTCTTCCGTCTACATATTTGTTGTGCCTGTCTTGGCTTTCAGCCATCGCATCGCGAACATGTCGTAGGTCACTCAGTCTGGTAGACAGGCTTCTTTACGGACAGTGAGGGGGATGACACCTGCTAGACGTTCGGCTATTCCTCCCTCACCATTCCCTAAGTCATGTATGGCGGCGTCAGTGGAACGCGAGGAATAAAGACCGTTCACGTAGATCAGCGTGAAGCCGGCAGACGCAAGCACTGTATTGTTCGGAGCGAACTTCTCAAGTTGCAGCATGGCGCTCCTGCGCTTCGGCGTCTCAACGCAAG